TTCCCACGCACATGACCTTTAATGGCCCCCCAGTCTTAGTCCGTAGGGTTCAGTATTGAGTTGGCCCCGCCCTTCCCACGCACATGACCTTTAATGGCCCCCCAGTCTTAGTCCTTAGGGTTCAATATTGAGTTGGCCCCGCCCTTCCCACACACATGACCTTTAATGGCCCCCCAGTCTTAGTCCGTAGGGTTCAATATTGAGTTGGCCCCGCCCTTTCCACACACATGACCTTTATTGGCCCCCCAGTCTTAGTCCGTAGGGTTCAATATTGAGTTGGCCCCGCCCTTTCCACACACATGACCTTTATTGGCCCCCCAGTCTTAGTCCGTAGGGTTCAATATTGAGTTGGCCCCGCCCTTTCCACACACATGACCTTTATTGGCCCCCCAGTCTTAGTCCGTAGGGTTCAATATTGAGTTGGCCCCGCCCTTTCCACACACATGACCTTTATTGGCCCCCCAGTCTTAGTCCGTAGGGTTCAATATTGAGTTGGCCCCGCCCTTCCCACACACATGACCTTTATTGGCCCCCCAGTCTTAGTCCGTAGGGTTCAATATTGAGTTGGCCCCTCCCCTTTCCCCGCACATGACCTTTAATGGCCCCCCAGTCTTAGTCCGTAGGGTTCAGTATTGAGTTGGCCCCTCCCCTTTCCCCGCACATGACCTTTAATGGCCCCCCAGTCTTAGTCCGTAGGGTTCAGTATTGAGTTGGCCCCGCCCTTCCCACGCACATGACCTTTAATGGCCCCCCAGTCTTAGTCCGTAGGGTTCAGTATTGAGTTGGCCCCGCCCTTCCCACGCACATGACCTTTAATGGCCCCCCAGTCTTAGTCCTTAGGGTTCAGTATTGAGTTGGCCCCGCCCTTCCCACGCACATGACCTTTAATGGCCCCCCAGTCTTAGTCCGTAGGGTTCAATATTGAGTTGGCCCCGCCCTTTCCACGCACATGACCTTTATTGGCCCCCAGTCTTAGTCCGTAGGGTTCAATATTGAGTTGGCCCCGCCCTTTCCACGCACATGACCTTTAATGGCCCCCCAGTCTTAGTCCGTAGGGTTCAATATTGAGTTGGCCCCGCCCTTCCCACGCACATGACCTTTAATGGCCCCCCAGTCTTAGTCCGTAGGGTTCAATATTGAGTTGGCCCCGCCCTTTCCACGCACATGACCTTTAATGGCCCCCCAGTCTTAGTCCGTAGGGTTCAATATTGAGTTGGCCCCGCCCTTTCCACACACATGACCTTTAATGGCCCCCCAGTCTTAGTCCGTAGGGTTCAATATTGAGTTGGCCCCGCCCTTTCCACACACATGACCTTTAATGGCCCCCCAGTCTTAGTCCGTAGGGTTCAATATTGAGTTGGCCCCGCCCTTTCCACACACATGACCTTTAATGGCCCCCCAGTCTTAGTCCGTAGGGTTCAATATTGAGTTGGCCCCGCCCTTTCCACACATGACCTTTAATGGCCCCCCAGTCTTAGTCCGTAGGGTTCAATATTGAGTTGGCCCCGCCCTTTCCACACACATGACCTTTAATGGCCCCCCAGTCTTAGTCCGTAGGGTTCAATATTGAGTTGGCCCCGCCCTTCCCACACACATGACCTTTATTGGCCCCCCAGTCTTAGTCCGTAGGGTTCAATATTGAGTTGGCCCCCGCCCTTTCCACACACATGACCTTTAATGGCCCCCCAGTCTTAGTCCGTAGGGTTCAATATTGAGTTGGCCCCGCCCTTTCCACACACATGACCTTTATTGGCCCCCCAGTCTTAGTCCGTAGGGTTCAATATTGAGTTGGCCCCGCCCTTTCCACACACATGACCTTTAATGGCCCCCCAGTCTTAGTCCGTAGGGTTCAATATTGAGTTGGCCCCGCCCTTTCCACACACATGACCTTTAATGGCCCCCCAGTCTTAGTCCGTAGGGTTCAATATTGAGTTGGCCCCGCCCTTTCCACACATGACCTTTATTGGCCCCCCAGTCTTAGTCCATAGGGTTCAATATTGAGTTGGCCCCGCCCTTTCCACACACATGACCTTTAATGGCCCCCCAGTCTTAGTCCGTAGGGTTCAATATTGAGTTGGCCCCGCCCTTTCCACACACATGACCTTTATTGGCCCCCCAGTCTTAGTCCGTAGGGTTCAATATTGAGTTGGCCCCTCCCCTTTCCCCGCACATGACCTTTAATGGCCCCCCAGTCTTAGTCCGTAGGGTTCAATATTGAGTTGGCCCCGCCCTTTCCACACACATGACCTTTAATGGCCCCCCAGTCTTAGTCCGTAGGGTTCAATATTGAGTTGGCCCCGCCCTTTCCACACACATGACCTTTATTGGCCCCCCAGTCTTAGTCCGTAGGGTTCAATATTGAGTTGGCCCCGCCCTTTCCACACACATGACCTTTAATGGCCCCCCAGTCTTAGTCCGTAGGGTTCAATATTGAGTTGGCCCCGCCCTTTCCACACACATGACCTTTATTGGCCCCCCAGTCTTAGTCCGTAGGGTTCAATATTGAGTTGGCCCCTCCCCTTTCCCCGCACATGACCTTTAATGGCCCCCCAGTCTTAGTCCGTAGGGTTCAATATTGAGTTGGCCCCGCCCTTTCCCCGCACATGACCTTTAATGGCCCCCCAGTCTTAGTCCGTAGGGTTCAGTATTGAGTTGGCCCCGCCCTTCCCACGCACATGACCTTTAATGGCCCCCCAGTCTTAGTCCGTAGGGTTCAGTATTGAGTTGGCCCCGCCCTTCCCACGCACATGACCTTTAATGGCCCCCCAGTCTTAGTCCGTAGGGTTCAATATTGAGTTGGCCCCGCCCTTTCCACACACATGACCTTTATTGGCCCCCCAGTCTTAGTCCGTAGGGTTCAATATTGAGTTGGCCCCGCCCTTTCCACACACATGACCTTTATTGGCCCCCCAGTCTTAGTCCGTAGGGTTCAATATTGAGTTTGCCCCGCCCTTTCCACACACATGACCTTTATTGGCCCCCCAGTCTTAGTCCGTAGGGTTCAATATTGAGTTGGCCCCGCCCTTTCCACACACATGACCTTTATTGGCCCCCCAGTCTTAGTCCGTAGGGTTCAATATTGAGTTGGCCCCGCCCTTCCCACACACATGACCTTTATTGGCCCCCCAGTCTTAGTCCGTAGGGTTCAATATTGAGTTGGCCCCTCCCCTTTCCCCGCACATGACCTTTAATGGCCCCCCAGTCTTAGTCCGTAGGGTTCAGTATTGAGTTGGCCCCTCCCCTTTCCGCGCACATGACCTTTAATGGCCCCCCAGTCTTAGTCCGTAGGGTTCAGTATTGAGTTGGCCCCGCCCTTCCCACGCACATGACCTTTAATGGCCCCCCAGTCTTAGTCCGTAGGGTTCAGTATTGAGTTGGCCCCGCCCTTCCCACGCACATGACCTTTAATGGCCCCCCAGTCTTAGTCCTTAGGGTTCAGTATTGAGTTGGCCCCGCCCTTCCCACGCACATGACCTTTAATGGCCCCCCAGTCTTAGTCCGTAGGGTTCAATATTGAGTTGGCCCCGCCCTTTCCACGCACATGACCTTTATTGGCCCCCCAGTCTTAGTCCGTAGGGTTCAATATTGAGTTGGCCCCGCCCTTTCCACGCACATGACCTTTATTGGCCCCCCAGTCTTAGTCCGTAGGGTTCAATATTGAGTTGGCCCCGCCCTTTCCACGCACATGACCTTTAATGGCCCCCCAGTCTTAGTCCGTAGGGTTCAATATTGAGTTGGCCCCGCCCTTCCCACGCACATGACCTTTAATGGCCCCCCAGTCTTAGTCCGTAGGGTTCAATATTGAGTTGGCCCCCGCCCTTTCCACGCACATGACCTTTAATGGCCCCCCAGTCTTAGTCCGTAGGGTTCAATATTGAGTTGGCCCCGCCCTTTGCACCTATAACAGCTTCAACTCTTCTGGGAAGGCCCCCCACAAGGTTTAGGAGGGTGTCTATGGGAAGGTTGGACCATTCTTCCAGAAGCACATTTGTCAGGTCAGGCACTGATGTCGGGGGAGGGGCACTGATGTCGGGGGAGGGGCACTGATGTCGGGGGAGGAGGCCTGGCTCGCAGTCTCCGCTCTAATTCATCCCAAAGGTGTTCTATGGGGTTGAGGTCAGGACTCTGTGCAGGACAGTCAAGTTCCTCCACCCCAAACTGGCTCCTCCATGTCTTTATGGACCTTGCTTTGTGCACTGGGGGGGCAGTCATGTTGGAACAAGAAGGGGCCACCCCCAAACTCCTCCCACAAAGTTGGGGGCATGAAATTGTCCAAAATGTCACCTTAAGAGTTCCCTTCACTGGAACTAGGGGGCCAAGGCCACCCCCTGAGGAAATACCCCCCCACCATAATCCCCCCTCCACCAAACTTTACACTTGGCACAATGCAGTCAGGCAAGTACCGTTCTCCTGGAACCCGCCAAACCCAGACATGTCCATCGGATTGTCAGACAGAGAAACGTGATTGGTCCCTCCAGAGAACACGTCTCCCCTGCTCTAGAGTCCAGTGGCAGCGTGCTTTACACCACAGCATCCGACGCTTTGCATTGCACTTGGTGATGGAAGGCTTGGATGCAGCTGCTCGGCCATGGAAACCCATTCCATGAAGCTCTCTACGCACTGTTGTTGGGCTCATCTGAAGGCCACACCAAGTTTGGAGGTCTTTAGCTATTGACTCTGCAGACAGTTGGCGACTTCTGCGCACTGTGCGCTTCAGCATGCGCTGACCCCGCCCTGTCATGTGACGTGGCCTACCACTTGGTGGCTGAGTGGCTGTTGTTCCCAGTTGCTTCCACTTTGTTATAATCCCACTAACAGTTGAGCGTGGAATATTTAGTAGCCAGGAAATGTCACGGATGGACTTATTGCCCAGGTGGCCACCTATCACAGGACCACGCTTGGAGTCACTGAGCTCCTGAGAGCGACCCATTCTTTCACCAATGTTTGTAGAAGCCGTCTGCATGCCTAGGGGCTTGATTGTATACACCTGTGTCCATGGAGGGGATTGGAACACCTGAATCACATGATATGGAGGGGATTGGAACACCTGAATCACATGATATGGAGGGGATTGGAACACCTGAATCACATGATATGGAGGGGATTGGAACACCTGAATCACATGATATGGAGGGGATCGGAGCACCTGAATCACATGATTGGGAGGGGATTGGAGCACCTGAATCACATGATTGGGAGGGGATTGGAACACCTGAATCACATGATTGGGAGGGGATTGGAACACCTGAATCACATGATTGGGAGGGGATTGGAACACCTGAATCACATGATATGGAGGGGATTGGAACACCTGAATCACATGATATGGAGGGGATTGGAACACCTGAATCACATGATTGGGAGGGGATTGGAACATCCGAATCACATGATATGGAGGGGATTGGAACACCTGAATCACATGATATGGAGGGGATTGGAACACCTGAATCACATGATTAGGGTTGGGTTAGGGTTAGGTTGGGGGTTGTTGCCTGGAGCCGGTACACACTTCTGATTGGCATTATTAGGAAAATAACTGGAGAGCTCAGAATTCATTCAGATGGTGTCCGCCCACAACTGGTCACATGTTCTACGGTATATATATATAGGAGGCGGACAGCGATAAAGTCATAAAAGCCACATCCTCCCTAGTCAACAATAGTGAGCGCCATTATCCCAGCGCCATTATCCCGAGCGCCATTATCCTGAGCGCCATTACCCCCCCCCCCCCCAGCGCCGTGCGCTCCAACATATGGCTCATTAGCAGCAGCCTGGGGTCAGGGGGGTCGGCTGCGTCTGGCGGGGGATGGGTATACACATTAATGGATTTTCCATGAAGTCACATCCTGTTCTGGGACCCCCAATGTGGTTCTGCCTTCTGGACGGTAAGAAGATCCCCCACCGGAGACATCATGTGATCCGGGTGACATTCGAGGGTCTTCCTGGGATCCGAGTGTCAGATTTCCCAGGATTGGAGGGTGGAGTAGGATCCCGGTCTATATGGAGCCCATTGCTGACCCGTATTGCTCTGCTCTGCAGTGCTGAGATCGGACCGAGACGGTTCTGCAGAACAAAAACATTTATTTAGTGGACTTTTGTGAATCGTTTTCAACCAGATTAGAAGATTTCCAATAGAATCGAATTATTCAACTCAAATTTGTATTAGGAATGTCCAATCGATCCGAATTCATTGAGAAGAACAGCTGCTACTATTCTATTCGAAATATGAACTTCACAAGACGACTTCATTCTTTCTGTTCTATTCCATTTTCATTCTATTCTATTCTAATATATTCTTATCTTCTGTTCTTTTTTTATTCTATTCTGTTTTACTCTTTTCCATTCTAGTCTTTTATTTTCTATTTTATTATGTTCTATTCTATTCTACATTCAAATTTAGGAAGATCCTTATATTCTCTCTATTGTAATCTATTCTATTTTTTCTTTTGTGAAATTAGAATTTTAGAAGACAGCTATATACTTACTATTCCAGTTTTATTCGGTTCTATTCTATTTTTTCTAATCTATTCTTTTATTTTCTATTTTTTTTTAATCTTCCTTCATATTCTATTCTGTTTTACTCTTTTCTGTTCTACTCTTTCATTTTCTGTTCTGTGCTCTATTCTATTCTGTTTTATTCCATTCTATTCTTTTCAAAATAAACATTTTGGAAGACCGCCCTATTCTTTGAATTTTGTTTTATTCAATTCTAATCTATTCTTTTTTTTCTATTCTTTCTATTCTATTCCTTTCGAAATTCAAATTTCAGAAGACAGGATCAGAGTAAGACGTCACTGATTGCAGGAGGGTCATAGTAAGACGTCACTGATTGGAGGAGGGTCAGAGTAGGACGTGATTGATTGGAGGAGGATCAGAGTAGGACGCCACTGATTGGAGGAGGGTCAGAGTAGGACGTCATTGATTGGAAGAGGATCAGAGTAGGACGCCACTGATTGGAGGAGGGTCAGAGTAGGACGTCACTGATTGGAGGAGGGTCATAGTAAGACGTCACTGATTGGAGGAGGGTCATAGTAAGACGTCACTGATTGGAGGAGGGTCATAGTAAGACGTCACTGATTGGAGGAGGGTCAGAGTAGGACGTCACTGATTGGAGGAGGGTCAGAGTAGGACGTCATTGATTGGAGGAGGGTCATAGTAGGACGTCATTGATTGGAGCAGGGTCATAGTAGGATGTCATTGATTGGAGGAGGGTCACAGTAGGACGTCATTGATTGGAGGAGGGTCATAGTAGGATGTCACTGATTGAGGAGGGTCAGAGTTGGACATCACTGATTAGAGGAGGGTCAGAGTAGGACGTCATTGATTGGAGGGGGGTCAGAGTAGGACGTCATTGATTGGAATAGGGTCAGAATAGGACATCACTGATTGGAGTAGGGTCATAGTAGGATGTCATTGATTGGAGGAGGGTCAGAGTAGGACGTAACTGATTGGAGGAGGGTCAGAGTAGGACGCCACTGATTGGAGGAGGGTCATAGTAGGATGTCATTGATTGGAGGAGGGTCAGAGTAGGACGTCACTGATTGGAGGAGGGTCAGAGTAAGACGTCACTGATTGGAGGAGGGTCAGAGTAGGACGTCACTGATTGGAGGAGGGTCAGAGTAGGATGTCACTGATTGGAGGAGGGTCAGAGTAGGACGTCATTGATTGGAGGAGGGACAGAGGACAGAGTAGGATGTCATTGATTGGAGGAGGGTCAGAGTAGGACGCCACTGATTGGAGGAGGGTCATAGTAGGATGTCATTGATTGGAGGAGGGTCAGAGTAGGACGTCACTGATTGGAGGAGGGTCAGAGTAAGACGTCACTGATTGGAGGAGGGTCAGAGTAGGACATCACTGATTGGAGGAGGGTCAGAGTAGGATGTCACTGATTGGAGGAGGGTCAGAGTAGGACGTCATTGATTGGAATAGGGTCAGAATAGGACATCACTGATTGGAGTAGGGTCATAGTAGGATGTCATTGATTGGAGGAGGGTCAGAGTAGGACGTAACTGATTGGAGGAGGGTCAGAGTAGGACGCCACTGATTGGAGGAGGGTCATAGTAGGATGTCATTGATTGGAGGAGGGTCAGAGTAGGACGTCACTGATTGGAGGAGGGTCAGAGTAAGACGTCACTGATTGGAGGAGGGTCAGAGTAGGACGTCACTGATTGGAGGAGGGTCAGAGTAGGACGTCACTGATTGGAGGAGGGTCAGAGTAGGACGTCATTGATTGGAGGAGGGACAGAGTAGGATGTCATTGATTGGAGGAGGGTCAGAGTAGGACGCCACTGATTGGAGGAGGGTCATAGTAGGATGTCATTGATTGGAGGAGGGTCAGAGTAGGACGTCACTGATTGGAGGAGGGTCAGAGTAAGACGTCACTGATTGGAGGAGGGTCAGAGTAGGACGTCACTGATTGGAGGAGGGTCAGAGTAGGATGTCACTGATTGGAGGAGGGTCAGAGTAGGACGTCATTGATTGGAGGAGGGACAGAGTAGGATGTCACTGATTGGAGGAGGGTCAGAGTAGGATGTCACTGATTGGAGGAGGGTCAGAGTAGGACGTCATTGATTGGAGGAGGGTCAGAGTGGGACGTCACTCATTGGAGGAGGGTCAGAGTGGGACGTCACTCATTGGAGGAGGGTCAGAGTGGGACGTCATTGATTGGAGGAGGGTCAGAGTAGGACGTCATTGATTGGAGGAGGGTCAGAGTAGGATGTCACTGATTGGAGGAGGGTCAGAGTAGGATGTCACTGATTGGAGGAGGGTCAGAGTAGGATGTCACTGATTGGAGGAGGGTCAGAGTAGGACGTCATTGATTGGAGGAGGGTCAGAGTGGGACGTCACTCATTGGAGGAGGGTCAGAGTGGGACGTCATTGATTGGAGGAGGGTCAGAGTAGGACGTCATTGATTGGAGGAGGGTCAGAGTAGGATGTCACTGATTGGAGGAGGGTCAGAGTAGGATGTCACTGATTGGAGGAGGGTCAGAGTAGGATGTCACTGATTGGAGGAGGGTCAGAGTAGGACGTCATGCTTCAATGCACAATCCATTTAAAGGGACAAATGTAAAAAAAAGTGAAACATGAAATGTTTGCATTTCACTCATCAAGGGGGGGGACCTGCTGAGCTGATTTCATTTTCTCTCCACATTCTCCCCCCCCCCCCTCAGGCTATAGAGTAGATTGATAGATAATGAAGGGGAATGTTACTGTTCTAATGCTAATGTCCCTGAATTCATCCCTGCCCCCCCCCCCCCCCCATAATCCCCCGAACTGTAATCCACACATAAAACACTGGGGTCAGGTGGGGGGTGAATGGGGGTTGGAGTGTATTGGAGGACATGGAGTGTGAATTCTCCCTTTAGTCTTTGTGTGGTCCCCATAGAGTCCCCTGTGTCCCCTGGAGGGGGTTCCATGCCTTTTGCTCCGTCTATTGAACTCTCCATAATCCTCCTCAATACAAAATCTGAGCAGGGCTGCCTACTGCACAATGGCGGCACGGGGACTCATTGTGGCCTCCTGGACCCCCCCAGGGACGGGACTCATTGTGGCCTCCTGGACCCCTCCAGGGACGGGACTCATTGTGGCCTCCTGAACCCCCCCAGGGACGGGACTCATTGTGGCCTCCTGGACCCCCCCAGGGACGGGACTCATTGTGGCCTCCTGGACCCCCCCAGGGACGGGACTCATTGTGGCCTCCTGGACCCCCCCAGGGACGGGACTCATTGTGGCCTCCTGGACCCCTCTAGGGACGGGACTCATTGTGGCCTCCTGGACCCCCCCAGGGACGGGACTCATTGTGGCCTCCTGGACCCCCCCCAGGGACGGGACTCATTGTGGCCTCCTGGACCCCCCCAGGGACGGGACTCATTGTGGCCTCCTGGACCCCCCCAGGGACGGGACTCATTGTGGCCTCCTGGACCCCTCCAGGGACGGGACTCATTGTGGCCTCCTAGACCCCTCCAGGGACGGGACTCATTGTGGCCTCCTGAACCCCCCCCAGGGACGGGACTCTGGGGTCTCTTTCTGCTGTTGAGTTTGTTTTCTCCATTGCTACGTGTTGGTTCCGCAGCTATTTACAATCGAGGTGACAGCTAAAGTAGTTCGGTCATTGGAAATCATGGGGCCCCTTATAATCTACCTAGGACCATTAGAAATCATTGGGGCCCCATACAATCCTATAAAGGGGACCTGTGAGGGTAGAGATAGGGGAGCTGCCGCTGGGACACTATTTATAGGAGCAGATTTAGGGGTGCAGATATTTGTAGCACATTAGTCCCCCCAATATTCATTTCCTGTTTTATGTTTGATTTTTGTTTCTGTTCCTTTGTCTGCAATCTTCTCATTGTGCGGCTCTAGTGACACCCGGTGTCCAAATGTGGAACTGCAGGCTAAGAAAGCGTGCGCTCTGATTGGGTGCCTGTGAATGCAGACAGTGGAGGGGTCAGTGTGGTGTTGTGGCTCCCATGAGAACTGATCATATGGACCGATCCAGAGGTCCTGGTTCTGGGAAATATTTTATAACTTCTCAATCATGGCCAGTCCCAGTGTCCCCGATCACCCCCCGCACCAGTCCCAGTGTCCCCGATCACCCCCCGCACCAGTCCCAGTGTCCCCGATCACCCCCCGCACCAGTCCCAGTGTCCCCGATCACCCCCCGCACCAGTCCCAGTGTCCCCGATCACCCCCCGCACCAGTCCCAGTGTCCCCGATCACCCCCCGCACCAGTCCCAGTGTCCCCGATCACCCCCCGCACCAGTCCCAGTGTCCCCGATCACCCCCGCACCAGTCCCAGTGTCCCCGATCACCTCCCGCACCAGTCCCAGTGTCCCCGATCACCCCCCGCACCAGTCCCAGTGTCCCCGATCACCCCCCCCCCCCGCACTAGTCCCAGTGTCCCCGATCACCCCCGCACCAGTCCCAGTGTCCCCGATCACCCCCCCCCCGCACCAGTCCCAGTGTCCCCGATCACCTCCGCACCAGTCCCAGTGTCCCCGATCACCCCCCGCACCAGTCCCAGTGTCCCCGATCACCCCCCGAACCAGTCCCAGTGTCCCCGATCACCTCCCCCGCACCAGTCCCAGTGTCCCCGATCACCCCCCGCACCAGTCCCAGTGTCCCCGATCACCTCCCCCGCACCAGTCCAGTGTCCCCGATCACCCCCCGCACCAGTCCCAGTGTCCCCGATCACCTCCTGCACCAGTCCCAGTGTCCCCGATCACCCCCCGCACCAGTCCCAGTGTCCCCGATCACCCCCCGCACCAGTCCCAGTGTCCCCGATCACCTCCTGCACCAGTCCCAGTGTCCCCGATCACCTCCTGCACCAGTCCCAGTGTCCCCGATCACCCCCCGCACCAGTCCCAGTGTCCCCGATCACCCCCGCACCAGTCCCAGTGTCCCCGATCACCCCCCCGCCCCAGTCCCAGTGTCCCCGATCACCCCCCCCCCGCACCAGTCCCAGTGTCCCCGATCACCTCCGCACCAGTCCCAGTGTCCCCGATCACCCCCCACACCAGTCCCAGTGTCCCCGATCACCCCCAGCACCAGTCCCAGTGTCCCCGATCACCCCCCGCACCAGTCCCAGTGTCCCCGATCACCCCCGCACCAGTCCCAGTGTCCCTGATCACCCCCCGCACCAGTCCCAGTGTCCCCGATCACCCCCCGCACCAGTCCCAGTGTCCCCGATCACCCCCGCACCAGTCCCAGTGTCCCTGATCACCCCCGCACCAGTCCCAGTGTCCCCGATCACCCCGATGAAGTGCGAGAAATAACTAAAATTACACATTTGTGAAAAAAATAAAAATTCAAAATACTCACCACGCCTCTTACTAAATACCCTGGACTGTCTACTTTCCAAAAAGGGGTCATTTGGGGGATTTGTACCGTCCTGACATTTGGGGGGATTTGTGCCGTCCTGACATTTGGGGGGGATTTATGCCGTCCTGACATTTGGGGGGGATTTGTACTCTCCTGACATTTGGGGGGATTTGTACCGTCCTGACATTTGGGGGGATTTGTGCCGTCCTGACATTTGGGGGGGATTTATGCCGTCCTGACATTTGGGGGGGATTTGTGCCATCCTGACATTTGGGGGGGATTTGTGCCGTCCTGACATTTGGGGGGATTTGTACCGTCCTGACATTTGGGGGGATTTGTGCCGTCCTGACATTTGGGGGGGATTTGTACTCTCCTGACATTTGGGGGGATTTGTACCGTCCTGACATTTGGGGGGATTTGTGCCGTCCTGACATTTGGGGGGGATTTATGCCGTCCTGACATTTGGGGGGGATTTGTGCCATCCTGACATTTGGGGGGGATTTGTGCCGTCCTGACATTTGGGGGGATTTGTACCGTCCTGACATTTGGGGGGATTTGTGCCGTCCTGACATTTGGGGGGGATTTGTACTCTCCGGACATTTGGGGGGATTTGTACCGTCCTGACATTTGGGGGGATTTGTGCCGTCCTGACATTTGGGGGGGATTTGTGCCGTCCTGACATTTGGGGGGGATTTGTGCCGTCCTGACATTTGGGGGGATTTGTACCGTCCTGACATTTGGGGGGGATTTGTACTCTCCTGACATTTGGGGGGATTTGTACCGTCCTGACATTTGGGGGGATTTGTGCCGTCCTGACATTTTGGGGGGGATTTATGCCGTCCTGACATTTGGGGGGGATTTGTGCCATCCTGACATTTGGGGGGGATTTGTGCCGTCCTGACATTTGGGGGGATTTGTACCGTCCTGACATTTGGGGGGATTTGTGCCGTCCTGACATTTGGGGGGGATTTGTGTACTCTCCGGACATTTGGGGGGATTTGTACCGTCCTGACATTTGGGGGGATTTGTGCCATCCTGACATTTGGGGGGATTTGTGCCGTCCTGACATTTGGGGGGGATTTGTGCCGTCCTGACATTTGGGGGGGATTTGTACTCTCCTGACATTTGGGGGGATTTGTGCCGTCCTGACATTTGGGGGGGATTTGTGCCGTCCTGACATTTGGGGGGACTTGTACCGTCCTGACATTTGGGGGACTTGTACTGTCCTGACATTTGGGGGACTTGTACTGTCCTGACATTTGGGGGATATCTGTACCGTCCTGACATTTGGGGGGGATTTGTGCCGTCCTGACATTTGGGGGGATTTGTACCGTCCTGACATTTGGGGGGATTTGTGCCGTCCTGACATTTGGGGGGGATTTGTACCGTCCTGACATTTGGGGGGATTTGTGCCGTCCTGACATTTGGGGGGGACTTGTACTGTCCTGACATTTTAGGGTCTCAAGAAATGAGATGGGCCGTCAGTACATCAGGATTCATAGTTTGTGTAACTTTCCTATAAAATAAATAATAAACACAGATTTGGGTTATTTGGCCTAAATTTATAACAGACACTAAGAAACACGTTTTGTTTTTTTTTCCAAACTTTTCAGTCTTTTTTTCATTTTTTTTATAATAAAACTCCAACGCTGATCAAATACCAACATTTGTGTGAACAAAATTATTTAAATGTAATCTGGGTGCAGTGTTGCATGACCGCGCAATTGTCATTCACAGTGTGAGAGCGCTGAAAGCTGGAAATTGGCCTGGGCAGGGAGGGGGTGGGGGGATTGGGGAGCCAGGTAATGAAGGGGTTAAAGGGCCAAAGCACTGAAGGGGTTAAAGGGGCGGGGCACTGAAGGGGTTAATGGGACGGGGCACTGAAGGGGTTAAAGGGTCGGGGCGCTGAAGAGGTTAAAGGGTCGGGGTGCTGAAGGGGTTAAAGGGTCGGGGTGCTGAAGGGGTTAAAGGGGCGGGGCTCTGAAGGGGTTAAAGAGCCGGAGGGCTGAAGGGGTTAAAGGGGCGGGGCGCTGAAGGGGTTAAAGGGGCGGGCGCTGAAGGGGTTAAAGGGGCGGAGCGCTAAAGGGGTTAAAGGGGCAGGCACAGAAGGGGTTAAAGGGGCAGGCACAGAAGGGGTTAAAGAGGCGAAACACTGAAGGGGTTAAAGGGGCGGGGCACTGAAGGGGTTAAAGGGGAGGAGCACTGAAGGGGTTAAAGAGCCAGGGAGCTGAAGGGGTTAAGGGGCCGGAGCGCTGAAGGGGTTAAAGGGCCGGGGCGCTGAAGGGGTTAAAGGGGCGGGGCACTGAAGGGGTTAAATGGGAGGAGCGCTGATGGGGTTAAAGGGGCGGGACGCTGATGGGGTTAAAGGGGCGGGGCGCTGAAGGGGTTAAGGGAACAGAGCGCTGAAGGGGTTAAAGGAGCGGAGCGCTGAAGGGGTTAAAGGGGCGGGGCTCTGAAGGGGTTAAAGGGGCGAGCGCTGAAGGGGTTAAAGGGGCGGAGCGCTGAAGGGGTTAAAGGGGCGGGCGCTGAAGGGGTTAAAGGGCGGGGCACTGATGGTAATCTCGGGAGGTAACCCATTATTATTACTGATTTCTGATTGCACCGCACAGTCCTCATTAGTGTCATATCCCCACCACGCTCACACACCGCCTAGGAGCGATCAGACCGACTAACCTACTGGTATGGTTTTGGGTTGTCGGAGGAAACGTGCATACAAACTCCATGCAGATAGCATCCCAGAGCTGCAGTGTTGTGGATGAGCACAGGATGACATGGTGACTGCACCTCAGGAGGCGGGGCTATGACTCCCTGCACTCACTGTATGTCCTCAGTCTTCTGGGTTGGAGGACACTGGGTGTCATTCAATGAGGAGCGCAGGGGACATCTAGTGGACGGATGGAATTACTGCAGGGGGGGTGGGGGATGGGAGGTGAGGGGTGGTTGGTGGGGGATGGGGGGTGGTTTATGGGGGATGGGAGGTGGTTGGTGGGGGGGTGGTTGATGGGGGATGGTTGATGGGAGGTGGTTGGTGGGGGGTGGTTGATGGAGGGTGGGGGTTGGTTGATGGGGGATGGGAAGTGATTGATGGGGGGTGGTGGATGGGGGATGGGAGGTTGATTGGGGGGGGTGGTGGTTGATGGGGGGGGGATGGGAGGTGATTGATGGGGGGGTGGGAGGTGGTTGATGGGGGATGGGAGGTGATTGATGGGGGGTGGGAGGTGGTTGATGGGGGATGGGAGGTGGTTGATGGCGGATGGGGGGGTGGAAGGTGGGGGATGGGAGGTGGTTTGATGGGGGGTGGTGGATGGGGGATGGGAGGTGGTTGATGAGGGATGGGGGATGGGAGGTGGTTGATGGGGGATGGGAGGGGGTTGATGGGGGGTGGTGGATGGGGGGGATGGGAGGTGGTTTGATGAGGGATGGGGGGATGGGAGGTGGTTGATGGGGGGGGGTGGTGGATGGGGGGATGGGAGGTGGTTGATGAGGGATGGGGGATGGGAGGTGGTTGATGGGGGGTGGTGGATGGGGGGTGGGAGGTGGTTGATGGGGGGTGGGAGGTGGTTGGTGGGGGATGGGAAGTGGTTGATGGGGGATGGGAAAGTGGTTGATGGGGGGTGGGCGATGGGGTAGGTGGTTGATGGGGGGTGGTGGATGGGGGATGGGAGGTGGTTGATGGGGGGTGGGAGGTGGTTGATGGGGGATGGGGGGGGGTGGTTGATGGTGGATGGGAGGTGGTTGATGGGGGGTGTTGGATGGGGGATGGGAGGTGGTTGATGGGGGGTGGTGGATGGGGGGATGGGAGGTGGTTGATGGGGGGTGGGAGGTGGTTGATGGGGGATGGGGGGGGGGGTTGATGGTGGATGGGAGGTGGTTGATGGGGGGTGTTGGATGGGGGATGGGAGGTGGTTGATGGGGGGTGGTGGATGGGGGATGGGGGGGTGGGTTGATGGGGGGTGGGGAGGTGGTTGGTGGGGGATGGGGGGTGGTTGATGGGGGATGGGGGGGGTGGTTTGATGGGGGATGGGAGGTGGTTGATGGGGGGTGGTGGATGGGGGATGGGAGGTGGTTGATGGGGTGGGGATGGGGATGGGGGGTGGGGGTGCATTATTAAACGTTCTGATGACAATCCATTGGCTCACCGCAGTCCAATTATCGAATTCATTTCTCATCTTCTCCAAATCTTACTATAGGGTGAGCTGGCTGCCACAAGGGGAGGGGCCCCGTCACGGTGCACAATTTTGTGACAGGGGAAGAAAATCGCACACCCGCCCAGGAAGAACGCATTTGTGCCGCCATATCTGGGGGGGTCACGATGGAGCTGACTACTATCTCATCGAAGCCTTCATCTCTGCTGTTGCCGTGAGTATCCTAGAGACCCAGTCACCAGAACATTCATTTCAACATCAATCTTCCCATCAGATGACATTTCATGTTATTTCCCCATAAAATCCTCCCCGCTGGCGACATCCAATCCCTGAGACCGCCGCTGGGTGCCGCCATCTTGGATGTGATGTCAGCAGACTCACTCGGGTGTCACTCTATAGTGTTCTCCCTCACTCTTCCCCCATAAAAGGGTATGCAGGGAAGTAAGAAGAGGGGTAGAGGAGCTGGGCCAGCACAGTCTGTAATTAGACACTCCCAGAAGAGGAGGGGCTATGACATACAAAGCAGGGAGGGGCTGTGCTAGGATATTGACCCTCCTGGAGCCGTCCCATCTGCACATCCAAGGCACACGGCTGGAGAATAAAGTGATTTATGGAAAGAAAACACCGAATTCTGGATTTGTATCGAACGGTTTCCACCGAATCCCCTGACAAGGGCTGAACACAGCGCATTGCTAGACATGCGGTTCGAATCAAAATTCAAATGAATTTTTGGTCATTCAGAAATTTGGATGCATCTGAATTCCAATAATAATGAAATTTTAAGGAATCCAAAATAACGAAACAAAATTTCAGCTGAAATTTGAATTCAAATCGAAAACAAAATCAAATTGATAAACCAGAATAAAATGCAACAGAATAGAAGGAATACAGCCGCCTCCGGAATTCAAATGTCCAATAGAATAAATTCAGATTCAAATTTCCCCAATTCTGGCGAATTGAATTTAAATTCAATTAAAAAAAAAAATGAAACAAAAAAAATTCCAAAAACGAATCTAACGAAACCAAATTATTTGAAAGACAAATTCCTCCAGCAAATGTCTGCGTGTGACTCCATGTGTGGGGCTCATTAAAGAAGGACTCTAGCTTTAGCCACCTCCTCAATAATGACCTGTGAGCACCCCTCAGGCCATTGAATGGAGGCCAGTGGAGGGATTGGAGGAGAGGGGTGGAGGACACTGAATGGAGGCCAGTGGAGGGATTGGCAGAGAGGGGTGGAGGACACTGAATGGAGGCCAGTGGAGGGATTGGCAGAGGGGGGGTGGAGGAGACTGAATGGAGACCAGTGGAGGGATTGGCAGAGAGGGGGGTGAGACACTAAATGGAGGCCAGTAGAGGGATTGGCAGAGAGGGGTGGGAGGACACTGAGTGGAGGCCAGTGGAGGGATTGCAGGAGAGGGATGGAGGACACTGAGTGGAGGCCAGTGGAGGGATTGGCAGAGAGGGGTGGAGGACACTGAATGGAGGCCAGTGGAGGGATTGGCAGAGAGGGGTGGAGGACACTGAATGGAGGCCAGTGGAGGGATTGGCAGAGAGGGGTGGAGGACACTAAATGGAGGCCAGTGGAGGGATTGGCAGAGGGGTGGAGGACACTGAATGGAGGCCAGTGGAGGGATTGGAGGAGAGGGGTGGAGGACACTGAATGGAGGCCAGTGGAGGGATTGGAGGAGAGGGGTGGAGGACACTGAATGGAGGCCAGTGGAGGGATTGCAGGAGAGGGATGGAGGACACTGAGCGGAGGCCAGTGGAGGGATTGGCAGAGAGGGGTGGAGGACACTGAGCGGAGGCCAGTGGAGGGATTGGAGGAGAGGGGTGGAGGACACTGAGTAGAGGCCAGTGGAGGGATTGGAGGAGAAGGGTGGAGGACACTGAGTGGAGGCCAGTGGAAACGATTGGCAGAGAGGGGTGGAGGGACACTGAATGGAGGCCAGTGGAGGGATTGGCAGAGAGGGGTGGAGGACACTGAATGGAGGCCAGTGGAGGGATTGGCAGAGAGGGGTGGTGTGGGGGTCAGTGGAGGGATTGGCAGCATTCATATTAGGGGGGAGGAGCCTGGGCTGAGCACCTCAAACACATGAAGTACATTTGTACAGGTGAGACTTCGGATCGGTTCCGTGCTCTTTGGAGGTCAGGATAGTTTAGTCATCTTCTGCCTCGATTAAACAACTCATACAAGGAACATGAGGGGGGATGGACAATCAATCCTTGCCCTCCACTCAACTGAATTCGCCTTGTTTGTTG